AACATGTAACAACTGACTGCCAAACCAGAATCTATGCTCTTATCTAAATGCATCTCTTTATTTTAACCAGCCTGGAAAAAGGATACTTTCAAAAACAACTCAATTTCAAACACCCATCCATCCATTCATTTTCTGTCATGCTTATCCCAAGCGAGGTAACGAGGGGTGCTGGTGCTTATCTCAGAATGTCTATGGGTAAAAGGCGGGGTACACCCTGGACAGGGCATCAGTCCCAATTTCAAACATAATAGCATTAAAAACATTTCAATTTTTTTCATCAAAGCTATAGAATGAAACGGATTATAATTGCAAAGTTACATATATATTTTCAGTTGTGACTGTGGCTCACCCTGAGCCTGGTTCTGCTGGAGGTTTCTTCCTGTTAAAAGGGAGTTTTTCCTCTCCACTGTCGCTACAAGTATGCTTAGTGTGAGCGATTGCCTTTGAGTCAATGAGTCGATGCAATCAATTGGTTTTCCTTAGATAGAAAACTTTAAATCAATTTGACTGGATGATCTGGTGAACTGTAAAGTGCCTTGAGATGACATTTGTTGTAAAATTGGCGCTATATAAATAAATTGAATTGAATCTAATTAGATGTTAAACCAGCATATTTGGACACAACAGCTTTTTCAGAGCTATCGATATTTTACCCTGGACATTTTTACATTGTATTTACACAGATTTAGATCTTCCATAACAGATGCAGTCCTAAAGGACATTATAGTACAACACAGAAGTAATGTGTTGGATCAGACAAACTAAAGCAAACTGAACATAACATCTCCATGGAGTGAATTCACAGATGCCCTATAAATAACCTGCAAAGACAAATTCTAATCATTTTGTACTTTAAAACTTCTATTTTCATAAATTACTTTTTCCATGCGGTGTCTAACACGTCCAGTTGTGTGTGCTGGGAATGCGCCAAAAGGTTTTAATCGACACTGGGTGATTGTTTTTAGACACATTGCTGAGCCTGTAAGCCTAGTTTTATATGGCAGAACTAAATATCCTGTTAATTTAACAGGGAAGGAGATTCAACCTCTATTTGACATGGAAAGACAGGGTCATGTATAACCAGCCTTCACAAAAAAAGTCAATATATTTATGAGAATTTGTAATCCTATTTTACATTTAAACTATATATTATCCTGTAAAATAATAGTTTTTATTTTGCTCTACAAATTAAGTAACACTTCCTATACTCTGCGTCTAACAATGCAAGCCAATCCGGGATCAGTCATACCTTACTGAGCTTGTCAGCTGTGGCGGAAATGTTGAGACCATCTATGGCTGCTGTTAAATCATTCACGAACTCTGTGCCATCTTCATCTAGGATTAGAAAAGGGAAGATGATTCAATTCCAAAGACTTTCATGTTGAAGACATGATATTCCCAAAAAGTCTTACCTTTCTTGTCGTCGACCTCCTCGTCATCAAACTCCACCATGGAGAAAGAGTCTTTGATTTGGTCCAGCTCCTCTCTGAGCTGGATCAGCTCATCTCCAGACAGGGTTGTCAACACAGACTTCACCTAAATGAAATACGCAGTGGAATAAATGAAAAGTAAAAAAAGCCTCAGCAAAGGTAGCAAACTAAAACAAACACCTTTTCCCTCCATAGATGGTTTAAAGGTGGTATTTTAATTGGCAGGAGGAGCTTCTAGAATAGATGATAGCAGTGAAAACCTGACAAACCCCTTTACAGCAAGCATCAGTTAGGATGCAGCTATTGCACTTTTACTCAATATTTTAGAATTGTGACTGTTTAAGCAGGCTCCTTTGAGGTTTTTAAATCCTCTTTAAAAATCACATTTCTTCTCCCTGGCTTTTAATCATGTCTAAGTGGACATTTTGCAAAATTTTATTTTAAATTTTATTTTATTCTAAAATGTATTTTTATTGAAACATTTATCCTATTCTATTTTTATGTGTTTATGTATTTTAGCCTTCAGTTTTTATGTTATGTTCCTTAACTGTGATTCCTGTACAGCACTTTGGTCAACCCTGGTTGTTTTAAATGTGCTTTATAAATAAAGTTTGAGTTGAGTTGAATGGAGGTTGGATGAAGGTTTATTTGTGTAAATATTTTTTTTTTTCTAAAAAAACAACAACAACAAAAATGATACATAATAAAAAAGAACAGCTAAAATATTTCAAATTATGTAGAACTCAGTATGGTTTATGCACTGGACTTACAGGAGCCAAAATATCTGCTATTTTCAGGGAGTTGGTTTCAGTGTGGGATTAGACTGACACTGATCCTTAAATCACTTTTCTTGATCTCTGACATATTTTTGCAGTAGCTAGTTTTCAGGCCTAAACATGAAAGAGCTGATCCCTCACTGCTCCCTGAACCAAAGGGAGCAAAGGGAGGTAGTATTTAGTATTACTTTCTTATTTAGCTTACTTTTTAAGCAAAGATATTAATATTACACTATTATGTATCGTCATGTTTTAAAACTGTGATCTGAGCTAACAGGGGCAAGATTAAAAAAAATAAAATTAAACCCAAGTCTTTAGGAGCCCCTCTAGGGGTTTTATTTTTGTTTTATATTTACATAAATTAATCTAAATATATTGAATATGTGTGTTTACGATTTGTTTGGTATGGAAGAACATGAGGAGAGTGGTGAGGACAGCAGAGAGGATGATCAGGGCTCCTGTATTATGAAATCTAGGCAGGATCGGGATGAGTCGGTAATAAAGATGCACACACAGAACACAAACACACTGTGTCTGCTAGAGTAAAATGTGTCGTTTTATTCCGCCGCAGCAAAGCAAGCTTCTTCAACAAGTGGTTTCTCACCTTCCTTATGTTTCTGCTTAAACATCTTTACCACAGCTCTCCAGCAATCCTGTTCGTGACGCCAGAAAATGTATTATGAAATTTAGGCAGGATCGGGAAGAGTCGGTAATAAAGATGCACACACAGAACACACACACTGGGTCTGCTAGGGTTGCGCACGCACACCTAGCTGCGGGGGTTGCTGCCCTGCAAGGATCGACTGGCCCTCCAATCCTTGTGTCACGGTAGGGGGACAATATAAATTGCATTGGGACAATATGATTTGTATTCAGCACCGTGCCTTGATTGATGTGCTTGCTTTGCTTTGTTCTGTGGCGGAATAAAACGACACATTTTAATTCTAGCAGAAATAGTTTGTGTTCTGTGTGTGGATCTTTATTACCGACTCATCCCGATCCTGCCTAAATTTCATAATACAGCTCCTCTTCCCTCCATTATGGACATTTCATCCCAACGCTGCGTATCCTGAGCCCGTCACATCATCAGTGACTCCTCACACCTCCACCATGGACTGTTCTCCCTGCTGCCCTCTAGAAAGAGACTTTGCAGCATTCAATGCAGGACCAGCAGGTTCTGCAACAGCTTTTTCCCCGCCGCCATCCGACAGCTGAACTGTTAAACTCTAAACTGGACTCTGCATCACATTATTTTGCACCACCAATGTTGCTGAACTTCTATAAACCCTTAAAATAGGACACCACTCAATGTTTCTACTGCATTTTGTATCATATTTATTTATGCACTGCACTGAACTTTTTCATATTAATGCCCTTTTGCACCAATATTTAAAAAAAATATATATTTTCTCCAACATTGTTAACATTCTGATCACTGCTGCACTTTATATTGCTAATTTTTATCTATCGCAACTGCAATAGAATTTAACTGTTGTAAGCTGTATGCAACACAGTTTTGTTTTGTATACAGTTAAATTGACAATAAAGTTTTTCTAAGTTTTATTACTCTGAAATAACAATATTTCCAACTAACGCAAAGTTACCCAGGTTGACCAAGTAAAATCTGAGCCCCTTTTGTTCAGTAACAATGAGTCCCATCCAGTTTTCCCATCTGTATGATCAACTCTATTAAAATACCGATAGAGATACTTTGATGTTTGATTGTCAGGATGAATGTCATTTAAAATGTTCTTTTCACATTGCTTTGTCATGTTCACTTTAAGATTTAAAATGTATTTTGAATAACACACATTATTTCAATGTAACTGGTTCTTTTAAGGCAATAATGAATAATAATAACAATAATAAACTCTACCTTGGATTCGCTATCTCTGGACAAGATCTCCAGAGCCTCCAGGTGAGACAGACCCTGATATTCATCAAACAGCATGCCGTAGTGAGCAACCACCTTCTTCTCTGTATCTGACGATTCCTTCTCTGCCGTCTCTAACTCTTCTCGCTCCTTTGCTTCCCGCAAAACCTGAAGAAAAATAAAATTATAGAAATAAATTGTCACTTAATCAGCCACCTATCGGATTCACTAAAAACTGTTAGGCTTTACCAACCTGAGACAGAGTGGCGTTTCTGTTCATCAGTCCTTTGGTCTTTTTAAAGCCAGGATCGCCCTCAGCTATCACATCCATTGTTTTCTTCCCAATGAACTCCAGAGCATCCAGCCCTCCTGTGATCACAGTCTTCCCCTACAATCCAGTACAATTCAGTTTATTTATATAGCGCCATTTAACAACACATGTCATCTCAAGGGACTTTACAGTTCACCAGATCATACAGTCAAATTGATTCAAAGTTTTCTATCTAAGTAAAACCAGTTGATTGCATCGACTCATTGACTCAGATGCAATCCCTCAGAGATGTGTAGTTTATTTTAGGTTATTTTGCCTGATTAACAGTGCAAGGCACCGCTTGCAGTGAAACATCTTACCGTGGTCTGAACGACGCTGGTCAGAGACGATAACATTCCCATCGCACTTCCCACTGGAGACGATCCGTCGGCTGCAGCTTTTTGAGTGTTGCTGTTGCTCTCCTCTGCCAGAGAATTAATGACTCACAATCAGAAACTTTTACAGCAAAAGGTATTTTTTTTATTACTTTCTTCAAACACACAACAGGTCTCACCCTGCTGTTTTTCTTCTTCTACCACCTTATCTGACAGTTCAGTTGGACTGGGAATTCCCAGAGATGTTTCTGCCTTTTCGATGACCTGGGTGAGCCCTTGGCCTGAATGAACGGATGGGGAGACACAAATGGTAAAGGTATGGGAAAAGACTAGGTTAAGGTCTTTCTAGTTGCCATCCCTATTTGATAAAATTAACAAAAAAATGTAGAAATTGTTTGATGTTTTATCCAAACATTATCATTATCTTTTAGGTACATGAAACCTCAGCTAAAAAAATAAGAGTTTGATGTATTGGATTCTCACCCACAGTGGCCACAGTAGCTGTTGCTGTGGACAAGATAGATTTACCCCAGCTGCCCCAGTATCCCCATCCGCCTTGAGAGACGGTTGTATCACTAGGAGGCTGTGAAAGATGAGAGGAGAGGGAAATAAAACAGAAAAGACAAAAAGAAGACTTCAGTTTAATAGGACAGTAGGTAATTCTTTGACAAAAAATTCAGGAATAACCAGATAGATGTACTTCTTTAAAGTTTTATTAGCTTAGACTTAATAAGTGGTCAAAACCAGAAGCAGAAAAGTAGAACACATCATGTGGGCTTCTTTAAACTTGTTGGGACCTAATTAAACTTGTTGAAATTGCAAAAAAAAAACAAAGAAAAACAAAACTCTTGAAAGCAAATATTTGGTATGCTGTTC